CAACTTGGGCCAGTGAAGCAACGTCCTCCACAACTAGACTGAAGAACAAAACAACAGCAACTTGTCTGTTCCCCTTTCCCCAATTCCCCTGCACTGTTCCCATCCCCCCAATTCCCCAATAAAAATCTTAAAAAAAAAAAAGATCACGAACTCAGTGTTCACATAAGGAAATAGGATGCAGTTTAAATAAAAAATAATAAAAAATTACTTTTTTTTAAATTACTTGAGAGTAAGACCCCAGGGTAAGGAAGGATGAAGAGACAAAAGTAAGATTTAAAAAAAAAAAAAGACCAGGTGGCGGCCGGTTAGCTCAGTTGGTTAGAGCATGGTGCTGATAACACCAAGCTTGCAGGTTCGATCCCCGCATGGGCCACTGTGAACTGTGCCCTCCATACCAAAAAAAAAAAAATCCAGTAGAAAAAGGCACATACTTCACATTTTTAAAAGAAAACTACTTTCACAGAACTCTCATGTTTAATTCTCCCAGGAGAATATAATTAGGTGACATTTTGATTAGATTTCCCTGTCAGAAGACAATGCTTCTCAGCTCATGCGTTAATAGGGCATATTATATGCAATAGGCTACTATGCAAACTGACAAGCAAAACGTTCATGTTGGCATTCTAAGACACACCCGCAGCTTATTGGACGATGGTGGCTCACAGGTTCCTGGTGGCACAGGAATGTTTTGCCAACATTTCATTATTGTGTTATCCTGCCAAGTTTGTCATCGATTCCCTAGAGCTTCTCAGACTCACAACCCAATTTTTGGAGGGCTCAATGGCTCTCACCAAATTGGAAGTACAACAGGATTCTAACAATACTTGAGTCTTGCTCATTCATTCAAATAAGACTGCCTTACCCTTCTTCCTGGTAGACTGTTGCCATTGTTTTAAAACAGGTTCTGTACTTGATCTGTCCAGGAACTGGCTGAGGCCCTTGAATCCTACTTTTGGCAACATCAAAAGGGATGTTAATGACTGAGGCCATTGTGCCTGAGAGAAGACCGATCCCAAATTTTCTCACAAACTCCAAGGTTGGATCCTAAAAGAAAAGAAGAATAAAATAACAGAGAGGGAAGCGGAAGCCCCTAAATCGGTTCAACGCTATAAAGCAATATGTATTTAGGCAGAGCATTGCACTCCCCGGCACCCTCCTGTTATTCCAGCAGAACACATTAGGATTTCCTAGGCTGGAACTTGTTTTCTTGACAATCCCATTGGCTATGTTTTTACACATGGTCTAAATTGCTGAAGTACACATTTCCTCACACAGGATTTATAAACACAGTTCATAAAGAAAGACTGGTATGGCATATGGGGATGATTTGTATAATTGGGCTTCACAATGTACTTAGTATTACTGTATCAAAACAGGAGAAATCCAAGCACACTATTAGCTAATTGGCCAGAATATTTTACAAATGACAGCAACTTCCACCATGAAGCCTACTAAAATGCTCATTTGTGTGTGGACCCCCAAACGTTAAATTAAATCAAGGCTACTCTCGGTCTGCTGCTATTCCCCTCCAGGTTTTTTGCATTTATTTTCACGTGTAGCTGATCCACTGTACTGAGAAGTGCTAGCTTCCTGTTATTAACAAACCAACTTGGGGAGGCCGCAAAACAGCCTGTGACATTCTGTGCATTATAAACAGTAGTAAGTCACTGGGCTAATTGGCTAAAGAATTTACAGCCCATTGTTCTTGAATTTTATTCTTCCTCATGGCAAAGGAAGAAGAGAGAGGGAGGGGGAGAGAGAGAGAGAGAGAGAGAGAGAGAGAGAGAGAGAGAGAGAGAGAGAGGAGAA